TGTGTGCTTGCTTGCCTGCTTGATGTTAGGAGATAGGCTGAGATTTGGTTGGTACCTGATTTATTTTTTAATTTTACTTATTTATGTATGTGTTCAGTGTTTTTCTTGAATGTATATCTGTGTACCACATCCATGCCTGGTACCCAAAAAGGCCAGAAGAGGGTGTTAGGTCCCTGAGACTGGAGTTATAAACGGTTGTGATCTGCCATGTGAGTGCTGGGAACTGAACCTGGGTCCTCTGTAAGAGCAGCCGGTGTTCCATCTCTCCAGCCCCAATATGTAATATTTTTATAGCTGGGAAAACAAAAGCTCATATCACACTTCTTTTTTTTTTTTTTTTTAGTTGTTTGTTTTTTAAAACAGGATCTTTCTTTGTAGCTCTGGCTGTCCTGGAACTCGCTAAAGAGATCTGCTTGCCCCTGCCCCTGAGTGCTGGGATTAAAGGTGTGCACCAGCACCTTCCAGCTTCACACATTGCTCTTAAATTCTACTTTTCCCTGAATTTTCCAGGAAGCTTTGCAACAGGACAGTGACTGACAAGAAGACAGAGAAGAAATTCAGAAATGTTGACTGTACCACTGCCTGAACCTCTAATGTGGGCTCCTGGGACTTGGGACCCAGGCATGGCACTCTTCCCCAGGGGCCCAACACTACCCTTAGCCACTTCTGACTGCCCCAAGGCAGTACAAACATCAGAGCTTGCACACATATGGGGCCGGGGCAGAAAGTGCTCTCCTGCTCCCAGGACACAGGAAGAGCTCCTCACATATGTGTGCACATCAGCATGTATGCATGTGTGTATTATGTGTATAGGCGACTACTCACTCCTTACGGGAAATGGGGCACGCGTTGTCGAGTTAGTCACTTCTCCTCTCTGAAGATTAGCGGAGAGAAGTGAGGCTGGCCCTGCCCTCCCCACTGGCACCTCTTTCCAGATTCTTAGAGGGATTTGCAATAAGCTGATTCCCTCTAGTTTCACATCTCGGTTAGATCCTGGACCTTTAAAACATTCGAAAGATGCAAATGATGGTTTCGATGGCAGTGCCTCAGGTCATGGGTAGATGTAGTTGGATTCTTCCTGTCCCGCCCATCAGTTCCCACAGCCGCTTATGAAATACACTCTGAGGCTTAATAGTAAATAGAATTGTTTGGCCAATGGCTCAAACACATTACTGGCTAGCCCTCTCATAAACTAACCCATTTCTACTAATCTGTATTGCCACGAGACTTACCAGTAATGCTCTGGCATGTTGTTCCTTTGGTGGTTACATGGCATCTCCCTGACTCGGCCTTCCTTCCCTCTGCATCTTTGGGTTTCCCACCTAGCTATATTCTGTCGGGCCAATGTCAAACTATCTTCTTTCTGGCCATTGGCCAAAACAGCTTTATTCATCAACCAATAAAAGCAATGCGTATTCACAGCATATAGAAGGACATCCCATATCAGGTAGATTCTGGATTCCAGAGTGGAATCCAGGCTAAATGTGGTCTGCTATGCCAGCCGTATATACAGCCCAGCATGTTCCCTATGTAGAATGGGTCATGGGCACTGAGTGACCCCTGACACTCCTCGGAGCTCTTGGAAGGCAAGGGAGATGTCTTTCCCCCGTGCTGCAGACTCCAGATGCAAACAGGAGTGGTAAGCTATAATGGCCTGGCAGAAAGAACACCTATGTTGGAATCAAGACACTAGGTTTCATTCTAGGCACAGCCTCAAAGGTTGTGTGACTTTGAACATGTTTCATTTGTGTCTGTGACATAGATGAAAAGAGAAATAAATGGTGGAACCCCCTGCCTCCCCTCCCTCTGCTGTGCCCATTCCCCACACCCCTGCAGCTCCTGGGGGTGGGGAACCTGTATTTTCTTTCTCCTCTTGATGTGTATGAGGACAGGCACAGGGGGGTGGGCTGTTGGGACATGCCGGGCTCTAGAGAAGAGAGGTCTGAGGCCTGCGACCAGCACTCTGGGACATCCATCACAGCCTGGCCCATCCAGGAGGGGCTGCTCTGTAACTAACCAATGGCTTAGCCTGTTCTCTTCCACGCTGGTCCTACATCATCCTGCTATCCCCACCATTACACACACAGCCACCGGCCCTCGGGAAGGACATAGAAGCCACAAAAACTGGTGCCTACTTTTAATAGGTTGAGACCTAGAAATTGATCTATCTATGAAAGGACAGACAAGGAGAATGTGGTTGGAACAGAGACAGGGCTGAGGAGGTGCTGGCCATCTGGGGCTTTTCTGCTCCTGAGGCCTATGGAGGGGCTTTGGAAGAATGTAGTATCTCTTTCAGTAACCATGCCCTATCCCAGCTGAGCTGTGTCCTGGGCTACAGAAATGAATCAGAGAGGAGCCCAGCCCTGTGTAATTATCATAGTGACCCACATCATAAATATTGAGGTCCCCGGTTTGTCCATAAGGAATCTGCTCCTTGTTCAGAGTCCCCCTTGAGCAGAGCTGAAGCTGAATCCCGAGACCAAGGCTCTCGACTCTGTGTTTTATCACCTCCCAAAGGTGATAAAGGGCACTTCTTCCTTGGGGTGCAGGAGATCAGGAAAGATGAGCAAGAGGCAGATCTAGGCGGGATGCATCAGGTGGGTGGGGGTATTAGAGATAGCAGTAGCAAGAGCATGGAGGAGTTACTAGCAGTGGTTCAGAGGGCTTGGGGTATGAACTGAGGCAGCCAGCATGATATAAGCTGGTTTGTGTTTGGAAAGATCATTCTGGCAGGGTAATACAGCTTGGAAAGCAGAGGCAGCCCTTCTGGGTACTCAGTTCCTTGTACATAAGCAACTGGGATTCAACAATCGTTTGCATGTGGCACATATGTCCCATTCATTCTGTGGGGCTCTAGAGTGTTTAACGGGCATAAAAATGGGCCACTTGTTATGGCAGTCCTGATGGGCAATAATAAGACAAGGACCTGAGGTGGCAGCAGTGGCTTTGGAGAGAGGCATGGATTTGTGAGGTAAGACGTAACAAGTAGATGGCCAGAACAGGACAAGTGAGGGATGGAGGAGCATGGGAAGTGTACTCCCAGGTTTGAAAGATGGACGGCCAGTAGAGGAAAGGGATGAGGAGGAGGAAAAGATGTGGACAACATAGATGTCAAATATGTGACAAGATTCTCAGAAAACAATCCTCATGTCTGCCATTTCTGGGGCCTGTATCTGTTCTCACTTAGCTGCACTGCTTTTGTAAACATTTGGGATTTTTATGGCATTTCACATTCATAAGTACCACTGCAATAAACAGACTTGCAGCCTGGGGGTGTGAGTAATTAGTCGCATGCTTGACTAGCATGGGGATGGCCCTGGGTTGCCACTTAACTTTCTCTAAAACCCTAGCCCATTTCTGTGAGGTCTCATTGATTTTTTTTTTCCCATGATTTTTGGTTTTTGTGTGTTGGAGCCAGTGATATTGTTGAGATAGGATTTTGCCATAGGGTAGCCTCCTTCTGCCTCAGCATCACAGGTGCTGGGATTACAAGACTATTATCATCATGCCTGGCTACTTCTCATGAGCTTTTAAAACAACCTCTTTATTATTTGTGACAAACTTTTCTCCACATGTTTTTTTCTCTCTTAAATTTGCCTGTGGGTTTTTTTTTTTTTTTTTTTTTTTTTTTTAAGATTTGCTTATTTTAAACTCTGTGTTTGTGTATCCCCTGTGTGTGTTCTGAAGTATATGTGTAAGGATGTTTATGAAGTTGGGCTGGGGATGTGGCTCAGTAGTAGAGCATTTACTAGCAGGCCAATGAGATGAATCAGCAGGTAAATGGACTTGCAAGTGAGGATCTCTCAGGGTTTTTTTTTAAACATATATTTGTTTATTTTATTTTATTGTGTGTGTGAGAGAGAGAGAGAGAGATGTAGAAGTCAAAGGACAACTTGCTTCTCTCCTTCCCCCATATGGGTCCTAGGGATGAAACCAAGTCCTCAGGCTAGGGAGAAAGCGCCTTTATCCACAGAGCCATCTCTCAGACCCCCCTGGGCCTCTTTTCTTGTGCCCAGTGATCGTTTCCCCTTGATGTGCTCAGTTCTTTCCTCTTTAAGGTTAGCTGATTTTCTTCATGTCTCCTAGGCAAGGAACAAACTTGCTACTTTGGAGGCCATAGTAATGGTTCTGACGCTGCTTGTGTCTCAGCTTCCTCCAGCATACTAAAGAGCGCTGTTGTAAGGGTAGAGAAAGGGGAGCTCATGAAAGAGTAGCGGAAGTGACTGACATGGGGGTCTGGACCAGGAAAGGCTAGGGGATCAGAAGTCTTTATGAGGCTGGACAGGAAGAAGGGAAAGGCTAAAGAGGGAAGGCCTGGAGTTGGATGCTGGGAGACGTTTCAAAAGCAATGCTTCTACATTTGGGACCAAGCTCCATGAGAGAGAATGAACTATTCTCCACACAATAGTACTGACAACCCAGTTCTGGTCAGGGGCAGGACTGAGTGTCATTCTGCTGTTCTGTGACAGCTCATGAAATGTCTTTGTTTTCTAGGTCCACTTTAGCACAGTTGACCGAGAGCCAGGAAAGACAGAAAAAGGGAAAGCAGTCAAGCTCACCAGAGCAGATAGGCAAATGAGACGAAGCTTCTGGTGGGCCCCAGCCTCTAGCAGTGAGGCGGGACAGCTGGGCCTGCTGGTCTTCCCTGTGACCCAAGGACACCCTGCCCCTGCACTCACAACAGAGCAGCACTCCTAACAGTGCCCCACACTTGTCCTTTGCCTCAAAGCTCCATTGTGCCCTCCATTACTCGCTTTGGCCCCGCAGCATGGCCACCCTCCCCCAACACATACCTGTGCCTGGCACACATTCCCTGGTCGCTCACATGTCAAAGCCTTCCTGTGTCAGCAGGTTTATGCCACAGACCTCAAATTGCCCTTCCGCTCACGTCCCTTCTCCTCATTGCTCATTTCTCTGTCTACAGTGTGGGTCCTTCCCATTCACCTGGAGACATCATCAGGCGCCCGCCCAGCTCATGTCTTCTTATGCTGTGTCTACAGAGTGCATCCGACGGCTTCTGGAAGTCTGTGGCCACTCGAGTGCCCAAGGAGCCCCCCGAGATTCGCATCCTCAACCCATACTTCATCCAGGAGGCTGCCTTCACTCTCATTGGACTGCCCTTCAACAACGGCCTCATGGGCAGGGGGGTGAGACTCCTGGGCAGAGAGGAGGAGGACTAGGCAGGGGAGTCTCAGGAGGGAAATGGGTGGGGAAGGAGGCTCCATGGAGAGGAAGGCCCATCCTTGGAAATGGGCCGGTTAGCTCTGGAGGTCTCAGCCCTACCCACCCCCCACAGAATTCTACATGCTTCCTCTCCTCTCTTCCAGAACATCCCAACCCTTGGCAGTGTGGCAGTGACCATGGCACTACATGGCTGTGATGAAGTGGCAGTCGCAGGCTTTGGCTACGACATGAACACACCCAATGCACCCCTACATTACTATGAAACTGTCCGCATGGCAGCCATCAAAGAGGTGAGGGCTGGGCAAGGGGGCAGTCTTTGGGTGTAAGTGGGGGGGGGAGCTTCCAGCACTAAGGATGGACTCCAGCACCTGTACAAATGAATGGTAAGGAGGAATCAGCTGCTGATGATACCCAGTGTTCCTGAAAGGACCACCCTCGGCTGGCTAAGCAGCCACTGTGATCTAGCTGGCATGCAGGCCACTGGCCATCTGTGTATCCTCCTGCCTAGCTATCCCCTGAGCCCAGAGCCCCTCTCTTCAGCTTTCCTCCTGAACACTCCCTCCACAGGCCCTCCTGCCCTGGCCCTGTACCTTACCCCTCCTTGACACACCTGGCCATCACACTGTCCTCTTGTCACCAGCTCAGATCATCCTCTTCTACAGACCCTGCTTTCCCTGGGAAGATCCCTTGTCCTTCACACAACCCGCAAGTAAACAATGCCCTTGCCATATCCCCTCCACTCTTGCCTACACCGACCACAGAACTCACCCAGTGTGCTCCAGGCAACCCATCTGGATAGGGAGCTTCTAGATTTCCAGGCCTCTGTACCCCACAACAAGGATGGGAGGGGACAGAATGAATCCTTCTCGTGCATCAGCTTCTGCCACAGCCTCCCCCCCTGAGCCGTGCCTGAATCCTGACAAGCGGGGACATAGCAGTGGCGGGGAAAATTTCTCACTCCTGCAGGTCCACACTCCCGTGAACCAGGGGACTCTGGTGGCCACCAACCCCCATTGCTGCTCAGTGGCCTTTTTACCTGCACACCCAAGCCCTCACCACATGGCTCCTGAGCCTTATGCTTTGAAAGCTCCTGGCCACCCTCATCCAGTGACAAATCTGAAGGCGCACAGGGGACTTGGAGCACCCCTTTCTGGAGCACCACCTTTGCACTCTTCACTCCCACTCAGCCCTCATGCTGTCACCTGACTTCACTTCTCTAACGTCACCAGTGACCTGTCTCAGAAAGCTGAATCTCATGGGCAAATGCCACGTTCTTTCTTTTATTTTTGTTGGGAGGGGGCATGTGTGGAAGTCAGAGAACACCTTTTCAGAGTGAGTTGTCTCCTCCAACATGGGTTTGGGGATTGAACTCAGGCCATCAGGCTTGTGACACAGTGTTTTTTATCTCCATCCGAGGGTCAGTTTTCCTGATCTCTCAGAAACCTTTTTTATATTGACTGCTTCTTTCTGCTTAGGGTTCCATAATTTCTAATGTTTCTTATTTCTCATTCTCTCTTTTCTTCTCATTCCTCAGCTTTGGTCTAGTTCTTAATCATCCGCATTAGGCTGGGCATGGTGACAGGTGACACACGCCTTTAATCTCTGCATAAGGGAGACAGGGGCAGGCAGGTCTCTGAGAGTTCTAGGCTAGCCTGGTGTACAGGGTGAGTTCTAGGCCAGCCAGGGCTACAGTGAGACCCTGACTCAGTAGAAAGGAAGTAGAGGCTATAGGGCTGGAGAAAAATGGATCAGCAGTTGGATACATATGGCTTTGTTCCCAGCACACATACACACATAGCATATATATGAATACTGGTGTGGCATACACACACACACACACACACACACACAAAATTTAAAAAAAAAAAATTGAGATACACTTTCTTTATGTACTCCCACCTGTCCTAGAACTCACTCTGTTCAAGTGACCAGGCTGGCCTTGAACTCAGAGATCCACCTGCCTCTGCCTCGGGAGTGCTGGGATTAAAGGCATGTACCATCATGCCCAGCCTAAAAAAAAAAAACAAAACAAAACAAAACAAAACAAAACATAAATCTTTAAAAAAAAAAAATCTTAGTTAAAAGAAAAAGATCAGAGGAGACGCTGCTGAAAATGTGGTCTGCAGTAGATGGACAGTCTGATCACGTCCTGCCTCAGCCCACAAGGGGCTTCCAATTTACCTGCATGAAAGGACGGGTTAGGAAAGAGCGCCAAGTGGAGCAGTGCCTGGTCTCGGAGCTATATCCAGGACAAACTTCCATGCCTTCTCTTTCCTTTTCCCGAGATTTACTTTTACTTATGTGTATGTATGTGTGTATGTGAATATGCACACATGAGTGCAAGCTTCCACCAAGGCCAGAATAGGGTGTCAGGTCTCCTAGAGATGAAGTTACAGGTGGCTGGGAGCCGCTAACAACCATTGCTAGGAATTGAACCCATGTCCTCCCCAGGAACAGTTAGGAGTTTCTTCACCACTTCTCCAGCCCCATTAGGGGAGCAACCGGTCAAGCATCTTCATAAGCATAGGCTGGTGGAATATACAGAGCTCTCAGGTTCTAGTTATCAGTATATGACTAAGACTTTCCTGTTTCCTGGCATGCTTGCCACCCCAGTGACTACTGGGAAACCGCTCTTAGATACAGCATTATGGGCATAAATTCAGCAGCTCTAAAAGATAAGGACTGTTTTGATATCACACCTCAAAAAGTTAATAATGTCTTCATATTGTGGAATATCTGGTTTTCTACTGACGTGTTAACCCTCATTGACTCCTAGTGAGTGCTTGTGAAACTGACACATCCATTGGTTACTTCTGCGGAAGGGAGTGGAAGATGTGGGATAAACAGTTTTCTGAATGCCTATGTTTGCTTGAATCCTCCCTCATCCTGCCGCCATTCTTCTGAGCCTGTTTGTCAGTGTTGTTTTGCTTTGCCTTGTTAATTTTTGTCTGGGAAAATGGCTGAGAGGATAAGAGCCCCTGCTGCACAAGCATGAGGACCTGAGGTCAAATCCCAAGGAGTCAGAATGTCAGCCATCAGGCATGGACCATCACCTGTCTCCTAAGGTTGTCAGATTGAGCAGCGAGTGCCTTTGCCAGCCCCACCCAGCCTATTCATCTCTCCTCTGGAAATCTACTATTCCTTCAGTAGACTCCCGAGTTCCAACACAGTTACATCAAACAGAGACTGCAAGTCTAACTGTAGCCTAAATGGGAAAGAGATTCCCCTCCACCACTGCCTTGTCTGGGATCTTCCAAGGACAGTGTTGTCTTCACATCTAAAATACTTGCTCTTTGGTTTCTAGAGCTCTTCCTAATAGCCACTCCTTACTGTCTCTAGAGCCTCCATCATTTTCCTGGGGTACAATTTTGAAAAGCTCAAGACTCTTCTGTGCAGTTTGATTCTTTCCCAAGGTAAAAGTCATGCAAATTCTAAGCAACCATGGAAAGATAGTTCAGCAGTCTCTAGCAGTCCCTCTTATTCCCCTATAAAGGGCCTCATCTCTTCGGTCTTTTTGTGATTGTTTGAAAACTGCAAAAGATGCACCCCAAGAATTCCCGGCATTCCTCTGTCCTTGAGGCAGAAGAGGGCATCATCTCCATCTTTTTGCCAGAAATGAGGGAGAGTAATGAAAAAGAGCAACAAGTTTTCTTCCCCATTGCTTACAAACAAACGCTTTTTATTCTCTAGTAATTTTCCTGACCTGGGTCTAATGTCAAGACTCCTTAGTTGAAAGGTCCCACAAGGATGAAAGCCATTTTGACGGAGTTCCTTCTATGAGACCAGTCCTTGTATTTGACATTTCCCTTTGATTTGTAGCAGACTACATGTCATCAGCTCATTCAAAATTTCAGCCTTAACATCCCATTGAATGTGAAAGGTGGTAAGATCAGGATAGACAGCCAGGGAGAGGTCTGTAACGTGTACGGTTTTTCTGCCTGCCGCCTCTGGTCTTGTCCTGCCGCCGCGCCAGCCCCAAATAATACACAGAGACTCTGTATTTGATACAATGCTGTTGGCCCTGTTACTTGTTTCTTATCGGCTAGCTCTGCCTTAATTATTAACCCATTTCTGCTGATCTATGTATTTCTCTTACCGGGGAGCCGGTGGCATACTGCTCTCTTCAGACTCTCCATCTTGACTCCTCCTTCCTCCTTCCTATTTCCTCCTTGTCTCCTAGTCCCTCCTATCTTCCTTTCCTATTGGCCAACAGTTCTTTATTATTAACCAGTATGAGAAACATATATACATAATGGCATCTCCCATCATCTCCTCTTTTCTGTTTAAATAAAAAGAAGTGTTTTAACCTTAACATAGCAAAATATATAACACATCAGTTATCAAATAAGAATCACAGCTAACAATATTTATTCCATTAACATTTAGCAAGACTAAAAGAAACTATTCTATCATCTATCCTAAATTTGTGAATCTAAAGTCCTATATGTAACTTATCTTTAACCCTGACTAAGGAAAACTATAACCATAACTATTTGTCTTCAACTCCCTCAAAGACCACAGAAGGATAGTATATAAACTCTAGAAATGACAGAAACAACTCACTGCCTGGTCACCCGAAGTTCTTTTTGTAATCTTCCATCTTCAGCCCATAGGCCATAATGTGTCTAGCTGACTCTTCAGCAAAGCAGGAAACTTTAAACTGTCTTTTTGTATTGGCAGTTTGACAGTCACTTTTCTCTGTGTCCTGCATACTGTCTCGCAGACTCTTCCATGAAGCAGGAACTCTGTAGCAATGTCCATCTTGAATCAGCAGTCACTTTTCTGTGGGTCCTGCATGTCCAGTTTATACAGCATAAAGTCAAACAGTCCAGACTAGAGCAGTATCTTGTCCAAATGGCTAGTCTTGCCGTATTGGAAGTAAACTCCATAACGTGTTTCTTTAATGTCCACCTTCCTTTTTGACGCAGGTGATGTTACCAGGAGCATTTATATCTCATTGTCAAGTAAAACCCTAAATCATTTTAAATGCCATATTCTGTAGGTCTTTGAAAGGTTTGAAGAATGCTTATTCATCTCAAATACATCTCTGTATATCTAGAAAACTTAACTAACTTAACTATATCTGACTATCATAGATACTATCTATAATCTGTATTGAATTATACATTACATTTCTAAACAATACTTAAACAAGAGGAGAAATATATATATCACAAAATTGACCTTAAATTGTATCAATAAATGAAAATCCATTCCAAAACAAAGTATTCATATCTATACTATAATTCCCTTTTTACCTTTAAAAGGATATTTGTTGTGATCATTAACCATTTATAACCAACCCATTTAAATGAAAACAAACATTTATAAACAATATTTGGGAAGTGGGGCGTTGTTCTTTCCAAACTACTTCCTGCTGATAGGGGATGCTGTCATGGGGGATCCTGAGAAGACGCAGAAATCTTGGCTGTAGTCTGCAAGGTTGCTTTGTCCAAGCTGTTTTGAATGTTGGATCACCAGCGACTCTGTTTCAGGGGGCCTGGCTTGATCAAACCACCTTTGTCTGGAAGGAATCCACAGCTTTTCATTTTCTGTGGAAACAAAAATAGAAATCCTTTTCCCCAGTAACTTGTCCTTGAACTTAAATGTTGGAGTCAAAGCATTTTTAAAATATATAAATTGAATTAATGCAGCAGCATTTCCTTTATCAGTTGTTATTTTCTCAGCAGGCAAACAATGAAGAGACAACACAATAGCATACAGTAACCAGATTCTCTCTCTGAGCTTTTCATCTTTACATGCCTTTATTATTACTCTGTTTATTTTACTTTTATTTTTTTATTTTTTGACATAGGGTTTCACTGTGTAACTCTTATCTGTCCTGGAATTTACTCTGCATACCAGGTTTACTTTGCAAATCACAGAGATCTGCTTGCCTCTGTCTCCTGAGTGCTGGGATTAAAGGCGTGTGCTACAACACCCAGTTCCTCTTTGTCTCTTTAAAACCATTTTTTTTCATGTCTACATATATTTTAAAACATACTGTAAACCTTTAGAGGTTTTTCTTAATATGAATCTGTCTTTACTGTAAATCTTTATCTTCATCTGGCCACAAGTCTTTTATCTGGTAAACAACAACATTGCTAAAATGAAAGTCATAGCTGTGTCAGCCGAGGTTTACCAAAGATGGTGGCGGGTACTTTTACCGCCAGCACGGAAAGCTGTGCTCACCGCCTTGGTCTGCGCTGCCACCCAGAAAGCATGCTGCCGGCTTGGAGATGTGGTCACTGCCATTGCCATCTCTCATACACACCAATAAATTGTTAGCAGAGTTATTTAAAAGCTGTGCGGTTTTTTGCCGTTTATGCTGAGTCAAGGAATCTTCCCTTAAAGGAGTCGCGCAAATATCTGTTTGTCTTTAGCAAAACAGAATTCAACTGAGAAAAATGCTGCAGCAAGAAACCTTGCTTGTCTCTGTTCTTTTGTTTCTAAAACCCTTTTTTAAGCTTTTGTTAAATTTTAAGTGGAAGTTCTTAATAGCCACGTGGGCGCCATCTGTAACGAGTACTGTTTCATGGTTTTCAACTTCTAAGTCAAGGAAGAAGTTCTTAAGAGAATTCAAAGTCAATTTGTTTGGAATTTCTGTTTTGTATTCATAAAACCTGTGGGCTCTCCAGGCTGTGGTGGTGCATGCCTTTAATCCCAGCACTTGGGAGGCAGAGGCAGGCAGATCTCTGTGAGTTCAAGACAAGACTTGTCTACAGAGCTAGTTTCAGGACAACCAGGGCTACACAGAGAAACCCTGTCTTGGGGCAGGGGAAGTGAGGGGGTAGGGGACTCTACAAATATTTATATTTATATTTGTAATTGCATTATTTGTATTAACTAATGACAAAAATAAAATCTTTACTTCTGGGAGCTGGAAAGAGGACTTAGGGGTTAAGAGCACTTAACTGCTCTTCCAGAGGACCTGGGTTTAGTTTCTAGAATGTAGCTCACAATTGTCTGTAACTCCAGTTCCAGGGGATCATGGCCTCACGCAGACATATATGCAGGCAAAACACTAATGCACTGTCTTACTTAGGGTTTCTATCACTATGAAGAGATACCATGACCATAGCAACTCTTGTAAAGGAAAAAAATTAACTGGAGCTGGCTTACAGTTTAGAGGTTTAGTTTATTATCACCATGGTGGGACATGGCAGCATGCAGGCAGACATGGTGCTGGAGAAGGAACTGAGAGTTCTACATCTTGATCCAAAGACAACAGAAAGTGAAGTAAGTACCACACTGGCATGGCTTGAGCATAGGAGACCTCAAAGCCCACCTCCACAGTGACACACTCCTTCCAACAAAGCCACACCTACCCCAACAAAGCCATACCTCCTAATAGTGCTATTCCCTGTGGGAGTTTTTTCTTTTTCCAAATCACCACAGCAGATAAAATAAGAATAAATACATCATTTAAAATAAAACAAAAGGCTGGAGATTGAGCTCAGAGGTTAAGAGTGCTGGCTGCTCTTCCAGAAGTCCTGAGTTCAATTCCCAGCAACCACATGGTGGCTCACAACCTTCTATAATGAGATCTGGTGCCCTCTTATGGCCTGCAGACAGAACACTGTATACATAATAAATAAATCTTTAAAAAATAAAATAAAATGGGTTGGGGATTTAATTCAGTGGCACTAAGTTGGGTCCTTAGCTGGGGGTGAAGGAAATTGGCAGGTGGTAGTGGCAAATGCCTTTAATCCCAGCACTCCAGAGATAGAAGCAAGAGGATGTCTGTGAGTTAGAGGCCAGCCTAGTCTACAGAGCTGGTTCCAGGACAGCCAGGGCTGTTACACAGAGAAATCCTGTCTTGAAAAACCAAATAAATAAATAAATCTAGGAAGAAGTCAAGCTTGGTTGCACAAGTACCAGACATGAGGGCCATTGGGGTTTGCTGAGAGCCAGCTTAGCTCCAGGATCAGTGAGAATAAGATGGCGATTGGTAGACCAGGATAGCCATATCATCCTCTCCCCTCTACAAGCATGTGCACACAGGACAGAAAGAAATTCAATCTAATGTTACGGAGTTCCTACTCTATGTCTAACCATCCCTGTCCATAGAAAGAAGATTGAATCTTCAGAGCATGGATATGAGTCTCCGTCCAGGGGTCGGAGACAGGGAGAGCAACTTGCAGAGGCAACAGTAGAGTGGGATAACAAAAGCCTAGGCCTGTGTTTTTCTAGGAGTTTGAGGGGAAAAATGCTGAGGGAGACTGGTCTACCTCCAAGCACTGTGCTATGGATTGTGGGTGGGGAACCATCACCACTTGGGTGTGTACAGGCTTCAGGGCAGCCAGGGTTGTGGTTCACATCAGAGGCTTCAAGGAAGCCAAAGAGCAGAGGAGTACAGAACTCTGGTTGATGACTCTGAGTTTTAGATTACAGAGATTTGGAAAGTTGGAGAGTATTGTAGGAATCACACTAAGGCTGGACAGCCTCTCGTTCTTCATTCCAGGTAACAATGGCTATGAGTACAGACATGGGGTGGCCCAGTGCTGACATGCAGCAGAAGCTAGCTGGGTATAAGCCATGAGGCTACTGATACTCATCACGTCGTTCATTCAGTCAAGCCTTTTCCTTCTTTGAGAGGCTTAGTCATCAAAGCTTCCTGGGGAGACTTCTGAGAATCAGAAGGAATCCAATCCCATAAGCCCTGGAAGGTGGTATCTTCTAACTTACTAAGGATGCAGTCTTAAGTACATAGCACTTTTTTGTTTATTTTATTTGTTAAGACAGGGAGAAGTCAAGTATGGTGGGGAAGTTCTGCTAGTCATTGAGTGCCAGCCCAGTAGAATGGTCTTGGGGTTTCAAGGCTAGCGTGAGACACTGCTTCAAACAATACAGCAGATGGGTATAGTGAATCAACCTATAATCCAGCACAGGGGAAGCTGGGGTACAAAGATCATGAGTTTGAGACCAGCCTAGGCTACATACTGAGTTTCAGGCCAGCACAAGCTGCTAAGTGAGACCCAGTCTCAAAAACCCATGGCAGGTGAGTTAGAGGCACTAGCTTTACACGCCCGATGACCTGAGTTCAGTCCCTGGAACCCACTGCCAAAAGTCATCGTTTGACCTCCACTTACACACTTTGGGATGCCCAGGCCCACACTCAAAGACACACACATCATATACACATACACACTCACACATAGTAATAATACATTAAAAACAGGGTTTCTTGACGGGAGTTTATCTGTGTAGCCCTGGCTGTCCTGGAACATGTTCTGTAAACCAGGGTGGCCTCAAACTCAGAGATCCGCCCGCCTCTGCCTCCCAAGTGCTTAAAGGTGTGTGCCACCAACACTGGTCATAAATAGGTAGAATTTTAATGTTTGATTCAGACAAAGATGACATTTTTAAAAGAAAGGTGAGGTGAGCTCCTCAGGCTCCCTGGTCCCTGTGCCAGGGAGGAAGGCTTTCATTAACTGCCTAAGGCCTGGAGAATGGATTGCATCTGAGAAGCAGCCCATGCCCCTTGCTTTGCAGTCCAGTGACTCACCTCCTTGCCCTCAGGGTGTCTAGAACCTGCTTGCTGCCAAGGAGCTGTGGGCTGCTGTCTGAGGGAATGAGATTCTGAGCACTGAGAGGCCAAGACTTGGAAGAAGCCAGGGGCAGACTTCCTCTGGGGTGATGGTGGGGGTGCCAGGCTTGCTTGCTGGGGAAAGAGTTGTAGCATTCATTACCAGATTATTGTGGCCTTGTAGGGAGACATACGACAAATGTGTGCCTAAATATTCCCAGTCACCGAGTTTCGGGGCGGGGGGGGGGGCGCGGGGGAGTGACTGGAAGTGGGCACCAGCCCAGGATTAAGCAAAGCTATGTCCCAGCACTCCTCTGGACTGCCCACTTCATAACATCTCCATCTCTCTCCTCCTAGTCCTGGACACACAACATCCAGCGGGAAAAAGAGTTTCTACGGAAGCTGGTGAAAGCACGCGTCATCACTGACTTAAGCAGTGGCATCTGAATGGCCAGCACTCTAGAGGCTCACACCAGGAACGAGCAGCTGCCACCTGCACAGGAGTCTTCCGACCCAGAGAAGGACAGTGCCAAGGGGCCCGAGGGCCAGTGAGGCCTTGGCAAGGCAACCAGAGTTGTGCCTGTTCCAGGCCAGCAACAGAGACCAGCACTCTGCCTCGCAGCCTGGGTCCGTGAAGCCAGAGGGCCAGGAGGCCAGTGGCTGTGACCAGCAGGCCCAGCATGCAGGAGGTGGGACATTTGGGAGCAAGAGTGCTGCCAGAATCATTTCTCCAATCAGTGTTTGGTGTATTATCATTTCGTGAATTTGGGTGCAGGGAGGGGAGGGATAATTTATTTTTAAATAAGATGTCACATTTGGTCCACTTGCTGTGCAGAAAGAGGTCCACTAGAGGGCCCACCAGGCAGTGGTACCAGTGAGCTCCCTGAAGGATGGAAGTGTCAGACCATGCTTCAGGGCCACAGGGGGTTGGGTAGCATCTCATGTCCACCATCTCCAGCTCATGATACACTTTGGCCTTCCTTGGGGGGAGATGGAGTACTCCCTCTCACCAGCCCCCAGTGTCCCACAGGGGAACCCCAGAGCCATCCCTTTAAAGCCTACAGGACAGCTCTTGGACAAGAGCAGAGAGAATTCAGAAGGCCGGGCCCAGCTTCAGGGGAATGGCTCCTCTCCATAGCTGTCCCTGATCCGTGGGAGCGGTGCTCCTTCCTGGACTGACCAACTGTCAGATGGTCTGGGTTTCTTGATGAGACTGCCAGCTCCCTGGGTCCTACCCAGGACCAGAGGGAAGTGAGGATCAAGGACCTTGCCCAGGCTGCAGCAGCTGTCCCAGGCAGCCCTCCTGGAAGCAATAAAGCTCTCCCTGAATCTGGCCTCCTGTTTTTCTCTCTAACTTTTCTGGAAGAAACAGAATCATGGGGCCTTAACAACAGAACTGAGCTCAGGGGTCTTCTCTCCAGCCCACAGACTCCTGGGTTCTTTTCACTTTCCATTCAGTGGTAGGAAGTTGGAGGCCTGCAGTTCAGTAGGAAAGAGTGCTTACGGCTCTACAGAGCACCCAGGTGCAGTTCCCAGCACTCATGGTCACCTGTAACTCCAGTTCTTCTGACCTCCAAGGTTCCTGTAGTATACATACACTCAAGCACACAAACATGCAAAATAAATAAGGACCAGCAAAAGAGAAGCCCACAGAGGACAGTGAAACTCACAGACCTCCATTCCTGTCATCCATGGCTCCACTTTGAAGTGGGCATGGCCCATTCCCCATTAACACTCACCCCCTTCTCAACAGAAAACAGGAAAGCCCCCAGCCCTGCCCTAGGCACCTCTGGAAACTTTAGAAAGAGCACCCATGCCCCATTTCACCCCCCCAGAGCTCTGGAATCTGATCCCTCTTGAAGCAACCCCAGGCAGTCTGAGAAAGCTCGAATGTACACCCTGACATGCAGTCATGGAGTTTACTTCTTCCAGACACTGGCCTCTATGGCAGTAAGTGAGACAGCTGTCCCCTTACCTCTCCTGTCTCAACCAATCCTAGACATACCTTGACCCTCCCACTGGTAAGCCTCCTAACTACAGAGAGACCTGGCCATTCTAAGAACTACAGTGCTCCCATACATAGCCTAAGTTCCATGGCTGTCAGTATTAGCCCTGGCTAAAAAAGACCACTTCAGCAGCCAGTTATATGAGAAAAGAGAACAAGCTGTTGGGAGCATCCTCCCATAGCGTGCAGTCCTGTGGAGTCTGGGGACAATCCTCACAGGCTATGCAGTTGGACTAAATCCTCAAGCACTGCACAAAACTGCTCTCTCCAAACCCGTGGTTAACCCTGGCTGTGTACCAGAATCACAGGTAAAGGAAACACCGAAATTTGCACCTGACCACCCCAGGATTCTGATTGAGATCTGGGATGGGGCCCAGATGTAGGTCGTTCTTAAAGGTCAACAGGGGCGCTGATACATAGCCAGGGTGCATCCAGTCCACAGTCATTTCCTGGGTACTCTTCCTCACTCTCAGCATCTCAGTGTATTGGCCAGAAAATACCAAATTGCCATCACTAGCCCAACTGCCTTCTCTTTGCTGCTGGCTACAAATTCAACTGCCTTCAGGGTATTTCCAGTAGGAGAGTCCACAGACCCCTCTAGTTCAACATACTCAACGCTGAATTCATGTCCCACCGCCGCCCCATACCTGAACCTCCCCCCAGGAATGTCAGTTCCTAGAATCCATCCTTGTCCTTGTGTCCGTTTTACCACCCCACTTTGTCCAATCAGGCAGGCAAAAAGGGATGTTAGAGATTGGGTCCCTGCAGCACCTCGCTCCCCACAACTCTGCTCAGGATTCATCTTTTTGTCTCCAGCAGCCTGCACCCCTCTTCTGTCATGCTTGTCTCAAAACCACACTCTCCCCAGTGCAATCATTCTACGAAAATGCTTGTCTGACCACTCAGACCTGGTCAGTGGTCCCTAGCATCTTTGCGATGAGCTTTAGACTAGTTAGTAAGACTTTTCCAATCACAGCCATCAACCAACCTGCAGACACCCGTCAAATTGCCTTATCGCATCTCAAAACCCAGCTCAATACCCTGGCTCTCGGATTCATTACCCCTGTCCCCCCCCCCACACACACTACTATTTCTTCATTAAGACAGTGTACATGAGTTCCTTTGAGCTATGAGACCCTGAAATTGAGCAAAGCCCTGCCGCTCCGAGGCAGCTGGACTTTCTGGGAGTCCCAGAGCCACTAGTTGACGCTGCAGGGCAGCTAGCCAGCACCCCTAAGTCTGCACAACCCAAGCTGGAGCTCTCCTCCAAGCTGCCCCTCCTTCGCCGCCCTCCCTAGCTTTCTCCCGCCCTCGGCCAGGCCTCCCAGTTCCCTACTTTGCGTGTCTACCAACTTCGAATTCCCAGTTTGAGCGCCTCGCTGCCGCCCGCGATCTCTACTCTGCCTCCTGGGGTCTTCTCCCAATGTCTAGCCCCCACCTAAGGGGACCTAGCCGAGCCAGTGGGGACTGGATCTGAAGGGTGGAGCGGCCAGGTGAGCCCTGAAAGGTGGGGCGGGGCGGGGGCGCTCTGGGCCCCACCCCGGGATCTGGTGACGCCGGGGCTGGAATTTGACACCGGACGGCGGCGGGCAGGAGGCTGCTGAGGGATGGAGTTGGGCTCGGCCCCCAGATGCGGCCCGCGGGCTCTGCCAGCAACAAGTCCCTCGGGCCCCAGCCTTCGCTGCGACTGGGGCTCGGAGCCCTGCACCCGAGGTAAGCCAGCCTTCTTGCCCATCCCCTGATGGACGTTCCTAGGGCAGAAGAAGGGCCAGAAAGGTCTTCTCCCTCCCCCTTTTTCTCAGTGTCTCTCTTCTGGGCTCTCAGCGCAGCTGCCCCTCCCAGCCCCTCCAGTCCCTCTTGTCGCTAGGCTGTTGGACTGTGTTGGCCCTCTTGGCTGGCTGTAATATGAAGCTTCCGCTGCCGCCACAGGGCACAGACCGGCTGCCAAGGCCCCACTTTTGGCTAAAAGAGGCGCTGCCAGGTGCACAACTTTGGGCATGATCCGTGTGAGCTTCGGGGGAAAGTCCAGCACTTGTCCCAGGAAAGGTGCCTAGAAGGACTCGTGCAGGACCCCCTTGGTGAGTATAGGGCTGGTGGATATGGATGGCAAGAGCTGAAGGACCAAATATCTCAGATGGCAAGGAAAAAGACTAGTCTGAGCTGCCCTCCAGGGACTTACTCCTGGGCTCCCTCTAGCGCAGATACCCCTAAGGCTGCCTTGTCTGACTTTCCCTCCATCTGAGAGAATAGTCACTAGCCTGGTCTCTAGGATCTGAATCTAGTTAGCCAACAGGTACACAAAACAGCCTGGAGCACTACTTCCTAGATAAAGACCTAGGAAGAATGTATCGTCGTGGATGACGACGATGTCCCTATGTATTCTGTGTGCTAGCAGAAGGATGGAGGGTAACATATGGGACCCAAGAGGAGACTAGTTAACGAGGACTCTTAAAGGTTCTGGTGGCTCATGAAGATGTGGTTTTCAGTAAAGCCGGCTGGGGTCAGGAAGAATGGTTCACTGGGGAAACTCATAGGAGCAAGGCTAGGGTGCCAGATCCACAGAAGGCTGATGGTCCAGATGGCCAGCTCTCAGTGGTTCAGCCCTCTGAGACCAGGCTGGTGTAGAGACTGGCTGGTCCTCCTGGGAATGGCTCAGAACTGAACGTACAGAGGATGTGGGAAAGCCGCCCCCCCTTAAGTTCGCAGGCTTGGCAAATTCTGCCCCCTGGTGGCCACAGGAAACCACGGTCCAGACATGTTTTCCAGAAAGCCCATCACTCCCGGGATAATAAATAGGCCAGCTCTTGGGGGACATCTGTGGGCCTAAAAGAGAACTCAGGTGACTCTGGGTCCAGAACAGAGACTGCAGAAGGCCTAGGCTTCCAGTCACCAGACAACTCAGAGTGACCACCTGGCACTGTAATTCTCCAGGGCTCTGCTTCCTCCTCTGGGGGCGTTGGAACAAATACTGAGTAATCGCTAAGGGTATCCAGTTACTACTTTCTCCAGCCACCCTGGTACCTTCAGCCCTGAAGTACAGAGCAGGAGGGTCCTAGAAGACAGGGCCACAGCTGCGTGAGTCTCCCCCTGTGACCTTAGACAATTTGAGCTCAGCTGAGCCTCGTTTGCCAATCTGGAAAAGTGAGGCTAGGACCTCGTGGAATTGTGAAGGCGGAAAAAAAAAAAGCAAAGCACCTATCTCAGAGTAGGTTCTCCATACAGCCACTGCTACTGGGCTGACTCCAGCTAGCTAAGCTCCAGGGTAGCTTTGAGAAGCTGAAGTGGAAGGACGAATAGCCAAAAAGATAACTAGCCCCTTTTTCAATATGCAGCTGCCTCCAAAAAGTGGGTGGGGACACAGGCCCACGAAGGCTGATGGGAGCTCCTGGTGTTGACAGAGATGGAACTAGGACTTGGAGACCCTACTGCATTGCCCCACTGCCTCCGGCCTAGGTGGCAGGTGAGTCATTCATTCCCTTGCATTTCCCAGCTGACTTTAACTGTGAAAAAAGAGAGTAGAACATAGTCTGGGGCAGGGATCAGATATGAAGCGGCAAATACCGAGAGGGAGGAGCCAGTCATAGGAGGAAAAAAGGAACAGGATTTCTCTGGATGGTGAGTGCCCTCAGGTGGTTCTGGGCTCCCAGAAGCAGCAGATGTCTGTTAAACCTAAGCCCTTCCCTACACTAGCCACCCAACTAGGAACACGATTGGAGTGATCTCTGTTCCTTTCTGAGTCTCCTTTTTTCTCTGTGCAGCCAGCCTTGTGGCCAACCCTAGCTGCTCTTGCCCTGCTGAGCAGCGTCACAGAAGCCTCCCTGGACCCCATGTCCCGCAGCCCCGACACTCGCCATGGTCCCTCGCCGGTCCTGGCGCCCCCAACCGGCCACCTGCCTGGTAGGTGAGAGCGCGACAGGGCGGGGCAGGGGCGAAGCTAGCCCTAGACCCTCCCCCATCCCCGAAAGTGACTAAGTCTCATTCCAGGGGGACGCACTGCGCATTTGTGCAGCGAAAGAGCCCTGCCACCACCGCCACAGTCTCCCCAGCCTGCACCCCCACCGCCAGGTCCCGCGCTCCAGTCTCCTCCCGCTGCGCTCCGTGGGGTACGCGCAGCGCGTGTAGGGACCCGAAGCAGCCGTGCGCGGGCCACAGATGTGCGCGGCTGTCGCCTGCGTTCGCAACTGGTGCCGGTGAGCGCGCTTGGCCTAGGTCACAGCTCCGACGAGCTGGTACGTTTCCGCTTCTGCAGCGGCTCGTGCCGCCTAGCACGCTCGCCGCACGACCTCAGCCTGGCCAGTCTACTGGGCGCCGGGGCCCTGCGATCGCCCCCTGGGTCCCGGCCAATCAGCCAGCCCTGCTGCCGGCCCACTCGCTATGAAGCTGTCTCCTTCATGGACGTGAACAGCACCTGGAGGACCGTGGACCACCTTTCTGCCACTGCCTGCGGCTGTCTGGGCTGAGGATGCTCTCCAAGCCATTGCACACTGGACCTTTACCCATGTGTCGCCCTGCCTGGAACAATCCCACCTGGCCACTAGCCAGGAACCTCAGCCTGAAATTGAGGCTGCCCAGCTCAGGCCCCAGGCTGATGAGTGACAGACATGGAGCAGAAGAGATGACCAAGTTCCACTGACCAAGCTCCAAGGCACTCATGGATCCCAGCTCTACAGATGCCAGAAACCTCAGCGAAGGATAACTCCTCTGGGAGAATCCAGAAATGGTCCCAGGCCCTGGGGAATGAATTTTGAAGAGATAGCTTTGTAGTCACTTTGCTGGAAGACCCTGTGCTGAAGCCAGCCTTGTGTTCACTTGTGGAAGCCGAAGCCCTATTTATTATTTCTAAATTATTTATATTTACCTTCCTGGTCTGTCAGATCTTTTCCTGGACATAGGGGATGGGTAGAAGAGGCTGGATGAAGATGTGCCCCCACCTCTCCACATTTCACACTGACTCGACAATCACAGTGTTGACCTGGGTCACCTACTTGTCCCTTGGGTGGCTCTGAGATGGGAGGCACAGATGGGTGACTAATTTGAACAGTACTCAGCACTTGGGGCCTAGGTTACCTATGGAAAAATAAACCATATAGCCTTCTGTGGAGAAAGGCTACCCTGTGACCGCTGGCATTTTTGAGGCCCCTGCTTAGCAGGTAAAGTCACAGAAAACCATGCTCTGTCCCACCATTGATGTCGGTGTCTTACCGTGCAAGGACCTGTCTTGAAGGCTCCCTGAGAGGTGTACATGCTGCTTTCACTCACAGGTAGTCAACCCCTGAAGTGGCCTAGGGTAAGAGAACATCGGAAGGGCTAAGGAAGGGCTAAGGATGGGAGTAGTCAGGCTCCAGATGTAACTCCCTAGGTAGGGTGCTTGCCTGGTGTGCTCAAAGCCCTTGATTTGGTTTCCAGCACCACATAAACAGGGTGGAGTGGCACATGCCTGTCATGCCAGCACTCAAGAGGCAGAAGCAGAAGGATCAAATAATCAAGGGCACCCTCTACTACATACTGTATTCCAGGCTAGCCTGGGCGACATGACTGTCTCAAAAGGGAAAACAAAGATAGAGAAGTGAGAAACATAATCTCTGCCCTTAATCTCTACCCAGGAAAGACAGACAATAAATAAGGGTGACATATGTAAGCATTTAAGTTCAATATGGCTAATGATATGAAAAACAACGGAAAGCTAAAAGGGACACATTTTCTCCCAGTAAGAAAGTCAGTATTGTCCCTGGCCTTTCACTCTGTCCCCAGGCCTTTCAGGTCCTCTCTAAAAGGTCAATACAAGCATCTGAGCTTTTCTGTCTGGCTTTGAAACAGTGTTTGAAATCAGCTGTGACTGCATTCTTGTAATCCAGCACTTGAGGTATGGAGGCAGGAAGATAAACTCAAGTTCATTTTCATCTACACAGCAAGTTCCAGTCCATCTCGGGCTACATGAGAACTTGTCTGAAAGAGGAAAACAAAGAAGAGAGGAAGGAAAACTGCTTCCCTGGTCCTGGGCATTTATACTGAAGAGGCCAGTGTGATCTTTCTTCTTTAAAACAAGACAGGACACTTTTTATTTATGTGTGGATGGGCATGCCTGTGTGTGTGGAGGCCAGAGGTCCTCAACCTGTGTCTTCCTTCCTCAGCTGTTTTTTGCCTTAACTTTTGAGACATAGTCTCTCTTTGAATCCTAAGCTGGCCAATTTGGCTGGCCAGAAAACCCAGGGGTCCTCCTGTTCCTACCTCCCCAGCTCTGGAATTACAGGCATGTAATTTTTTTTTTAAAACAAAAAAAAATTGTAATTGAATTTTGTTTATCTTATTTGTGTGTATGTGTGGGTGAATGTGCACACATGTAGAGGTCAGGGAACAACTTATAGGAGTCAGCTCCCTGCTTTACTGTGGGGTCATGGTTCATTAGGCTTGGTGGCAGGTGCCTTTACTCATGGAGCCATCTGGCTCAGCCTCGGCACTGGGCTTTAATGTGCTGATGGCCAAATTCAGATCCCCACTCCTGTGTTTGTACCAAAGCACTTTAGCAACTGACTAGCTCCTGGACCTCCATTTGGCAAAGGTGCTATGTCTAAGGGATTATGTTATAACAAAGGGATTGCTGGGAAGCAGAGGCACACTTGTCTGGAGCAGAGCAAGATGGCCTGAGTGGGAGAGGTGTGACAGCCTCTAGCAAACAGAGCCCACCCCCCAAAAAATGCTGCTACCAAAAAACCATGCTTGATTCTGTTCTTTTGTGTTTTGAATCACTTTTTAGGCTTTTGTCAGGTTTTACGTGGAAATTCTTGCCAAATGTTTGGGCACCACTTGTGTCCCCTAAGGAACACCTCAAACCTTCCTTTAGGTTTATTTCATCTGGAATGTACAGTTCTTGGTCGTCATTGTCCCCCCACCCCACCTGCATGCATATGTGCATGTGTGTGTGTTATCTGCTCTGGCAGATAGCCCTTGTCATCGACTCTCAGCCAAGGAGTCTTAACTTATCCCTGCCCTTAGATCTCTGTGGTGTAGCGTCTGGGAACTGACTGGGTTCTCATCTTGAAAAGGAGGGTTTGGGGCAGAGGTAGGTGGATCTCTGTGAGTTCGAGGCCATCCTGGCCTACAAAACAAGTGCCAGGACAGGCTCCAAAGTACACAGAGAAACCCTGTCTCAAAAAACCAAAAAATGAAAGAAAGAAAGGAAGAAAGAAAAGGATTGGAAAGAAAGTTGAGAGAAAAGATTTAAGAGACTGTGTCCCATGATTGTACCTTTGTTATTCTCAAAATGGTCCCACCCTACCTTGGAAGTAGAGCCTTCTGAAAAGACCCTGTGAAAGTTATGGGCTGAAAAATTACTGATATGCAAATCCAGGCAATATGCTTGGAGGGGGGCAGGGACATCTTCTGAAGCTCATTTAGAGGTCCCATGGAGTCCTTGGCCCCATGTGATGCTCTATTCTTGGTACCTCCTGTAGCTGGATGGATTCCTCTGAATGTACTGAGGCTCCAGTATCAGGGCTTTGTCAATTATTTACAATACACGCCACACTTTAACCTTTCTCTGTTTCACATCTCCTCCTCTGTATTTATACTGACTTTATATTATAAAGTCACATTATAAAGAGAACTGATGTTAGAGCTATGGAGTATAGGGGTGGGGTATCTGCTCTGACTTTGCCTTCTCTAAAAGAGACTTTCCTGAAGTCTCAGGGACCTCAATGACTACTTCCTAGAAAATTTACCTTGACTGGACCCCTCACTCTCCTGTCTCCTCCCACTACTCCAGCTGTGGCCCTGGGGCTCTGAAACTAAACCCATCACCCAGGCATTATCTTCACTCAGGGTTTCAGTTCCCACCCCTATGCTAACAGTGCTCACATTTTATCCTAGCCCCTTCTGCGTCCTAAGCCTATGATCTAATGATTATCCATGCACCTTCAAACTTCACAGACCTCCCTGATGTCTTCGGCTCTGCTCTCCATCCTTGTTCATGCTCTGGCACTTCACATTGGCAGCCATCCCTCCTTCCAGCTTCCCAACAACTACAGTATTCCCTCTGCAGAAACCTCTACCTGATGACACAAGAAATTCTTGACTCTTTGAGCTTATCCACCGATCCTAAAAGCAGAGCTGCTGCTTCTGTTGACTGTTCCCTGAGACTCTCGCTGAAGACACTATGCCCTCTGGATTGTAGGACATAGAGGATTAAATAAAGCTTCCTCCCGGACTGCTGGAAGAGAATCAACAGTCTTCCTTAGTTGTGAGCCTCACATTCTGCACTACTGACCTGTCAGGCAAGATGTATCCATTAGTGAACTAATGGCAAACCTGAGGTGGGGGTAACCACTTGCTTCCTGATTGAACTTGAGGTTCCCTGCACAAACGGGAATTCATATCTGGTATTGTAAATCTAGTCAAAGTCGTAGGCCATAATGGGGAAGCTACATCTGTCCATTGTTTTTGCTAAATTGACATGATGTGCCCAGGAAATTGCCTTCTAAATAATTATATTTATGCCTCAGGATCAGTACTGCTATCGGTTTTTGTCAGAGAAGCTTCTCTTTGTAGTGGCCAGCAGTAACTGCAGAGACTTCTAATGGGTCAGTGATGAGCCCAAGTGACTATATCCCTGTAACCAACCCCAGTGGAATACATTGGGACACACACACACACGGACACACACAGACACAGACACACACATATGCATACACCAATACAGCATGAAAATAGAAAGGGGATTAGTTGGGAAAAGAAAGGATTTCAGTGGGAGGGGGCAAGAAAGATGAATATGATTAAAATACATTATAACATGAATATATGTAAATGTCACTATGGAACCTATTACATGTAACTAATATGTGCTAATAAGACATTTTTATTTTATTTTTACTTATTTTTGTTTCTCAAGACAGAGGCTCTCTACATAGCTCTGGCTGTCCTGGAACTCACTATGTAGATCAGGCTGGCCTCCAATTTGGAGAGATACTCCTGCCTCTGCTTCCTGAGGGCTGGTATTAAAGATATGTGACACCACACTCAGCCTAAAACATTTTTTTTTTTGAAGTTTAACTATACTAAACTTGGTTTCCGCTTACTGCATAGCTTCACTCTCCTTACTGATGGGACTTTTCCCAATACAGCGCCTTGGAGCAGTAGCCTGGTTAGGGAAGTATGAGACAGGTTGACATACCATCAGGAGGATCCAAAATTTTGTAAACCTGGGGAGGGTACCAATTAAGACAGGGGCTGGAGAGACACTACACAAGGCTTTAAATGTTATACCATTGAGCTTGGGCTTTGTCCCGAGGGACCACTAAAAGGGTTTTCAGTGGCTTTGGTGTGTGTCCTGCTTGGCTTTTGTCAATTTGACATTTATGTCTAGGCTCACCCAGACAAATCCAGGAAATGACCCTTAGATGAGAAATTGCCTCCATCAGATTATCCTGTGGGCATTTTCATGATTAATGCCTGATGTGGGTGGTGCCACCCCCAGGGCGAGTGGTCCTGGGTTGCATTAGCAAGCCAGCAAATGTTGGGAATTAAGCCAGGAATCAGTGTTCTTCTGTTGTTTCTCCTTCAGTTTCTGCCTCTAGGTTCCTGCTTCCA